GCATCACTCATTTGCTCCAACAAGGGGATATATAATATACGCAATAGAGGTAAATGTAAAACTCCTACACTGGGGCCCCAAAATCAAATTGCAAAAGAGTACAATGCAAGAGACATAGAAATTTTTGTTGCCTATCAATTCAATATAAGTGACCAGAATACTGTTATTCAGTCTAGGAATGCATTAGTAGAACAATAGTGCCTAAGGCCAAAAAGGTAACGGCTTCCTCTACTTTGTATTGGCAAAGCCATACTTGGGATAGTATGGTATTCGGACATGTGTGTATGCCAGGGTACGTGTATATGTGTATGTGTGTGTGTGCCTATGAGTCACAGAGGTATGGGAAGGCAGGAGAAAGGGCACTTGTGACTTAGGAGAAACAAAGAAAAAGATAAACAGGCCTCAAAAACCTGTTAACACTTATAACACATAGAGATATTTACCTCTGAAGTGTGTACATGTGGGTTTTAGAGTAGAAGCTAGTAAGACATCGATAATGAATGGATGAACATATAGGCATCTAGTGAATTCATTCTATGTGCTAGGCACTCTGCTGAGAACTGTACATATCCAAAATAATGTTATTCCCCAAACAATCCTTTAAAATTAATATGATTCCCATGTGAAACTGGTAAATATGAGCCATAGATAAATTAAGTGACCTGCCCAAAGTCATTGACCTGGTGACCTCATAGTTTGTGCTCTTAACCTCTAGTTTATAACCCTGTCTGACAACCACAGAGTTTCACTGCTCAGATCTCCCAGCTGTGCGATGTGCAGTTAGCTGACAGCCTCCAGCTGTTAGCCCCTCAGAATCTGCCTTGCAATTCTACCAGAACCATGATATTTCAAGAGGCCCCAAGCCGGAAGCCAGTTCCAGCATGTCATAATTGCAAAAGTTTCATAGGAAGGTTGATGGAACTTGGGGACTCAACAAGGGCTGAGTCACATATGTTGTCACCTGTTGGGAATGGCTAAAGGCATTTCCTCAAACCTGAAAAGGATGATTGCTTGCTGCTCGACAGCTCAAGGCATTTTAATCTACATGTTATTGCCTCCTACTGGCCAAACACCTGAACAGCCGTAGGCAAATTCTTCCAATCTGACAATGGATTCTGTACCTAACCCTACCCTTTGAAGTGTATATCTCCACCTCGCCTTAGGACAATTTGTGTTAATAAAAAGCTAGTGGTCCTGAGATGAGGAGATCTTAGTTTCTTCGGCTAAGTTCCTCTGATCCCCATATGCTTTTCAAAATTATGCTTCATCTCTGGACTCTTTATTAAGTTACACACAGCCCTTCTCCAGATTGCTGAACCCTTCTAGATGCTGGAACAAGAACCCCGGCAGCCCCAGACAGTGGCTGAGCATCGTAGGGGTAGTAGGGACTGGACATCCCTGCCCATCATGGGCTCCTCTAATACACATTCTTCTCTCAGGAGTCCCCCACTGAGTTCTCATTGACTTTATAGATCAGCATTGCAGTCTGAGGCTCTCCTTGCCCACTCCTGCCTCCTCCTCCCTTTTATCTATTACAGAAATTATTCTGAAAAACAAAACAAAAACGTCCATTACTCCACCATCCATGCTCAGCATCTGCTTCCTGTGGGACCCAACTGACATCTGACATACCATGTCTTCAAATATGATATGAAAGAGCATTTAGAATTGTTGTCATATGGCGATAAGGGGTTAATTAATTAATTAGGACAAAGTGATTGAACTATCAGGGAAGTATATATATATATGCTTTCGAATAACTAGAGCTTTCCAAACAATAGAGCGGGCTGCCTGAAGACTGATGAGTCCCCTGTCCCTGCAGTCATTCAGGCCAGCCAGAGAATGATTTGTTGTAAGAAGGTTGCATGGTATTGCTATAACGGTTATAGCATAACCCCTGTGTGACAACTGGCACATCTAGGATGCTAAACATGCACAATGCTAATTGAGCAGCAAAAATCAAATTGTCAAGAAGCCACATCTGGAAGACCAAACCTCTGATTTTTCTGTGGTTCAGTGGGTCTGGTTTCATATATGCACACTTGTGTACTCCCAGGGCAGCCCAGCGGTCCTCTAGGGCACACCAGCCATTGTCCACATACTTTTCTTTTTTCTTTTTTTTTCTTTTTTTACGTCAAAGAGCTCCTAGCTTGTGACTTAAGGCAGCGGGTTGATTGTTCCCAGGGGTTATTTGACCAGAGGAAAACCAAAGTGCACATATGCTTTGTTAAACACGCTGAAATATGAGGTCAGCATCTGATGAAATTCTAATGACACCTTCCACTGATACCTGGTTCTTAAGCTCAATAAATGTGTCCCCGAGCCAGAAAGATTTAATTCCTCAGAGCCATTGCCTCCGTCCCTTCATCAAGACACCAGCACACCAATGAAGGGACACATACTCCCCCCTCCCAGTATTTCCATAACAGTTAGATGACATAAGTAATCTTATGTTGCAGATAGTAAAATAAGAGGTATAAAGTCTGGTAGAAAAACAGAAACCTAGTCAGCACAGGGATCTGGATATAAAGAGACATTCATTAGATCTGCAAATACTTACAGGCCACCTACCAAAGGCAATAGACTCTCTTGCAGGTGCTGGGGATGCAATGATGTGCCTGGCAGAGCCCCCCAGTTTCGTGGAGCACTCATTCACATGCCTGTGAGAAAGTCTGCTGGCCCTTCACTGAGGGAAGCACTCACAGCCAGGACCACTGATCGTGATCCCAGAGAGAGAAAGTGCTGTGGAGCCTCCGAGCTGATCTTTTCCCTCTTTCCCACCCCCAAATTCCTGCAGCAGCCTTGCCACTCATCATCCACATTTTCAAGAAACATTTCATTATACTAACAGTGCTTTGAAGCAAATTCATAAAATTTGCAAGAGAAGTTACAAAAAGCAATCTCAGCAATATTTGGGTGGTTTTTTTAAAAAAACTGATGATACAGCTGACCTACAGGAGACAAAGGCAGTGGGAGGGCCCTCACTGGGTAAATAAATAGGAGTCTCTGTGCTGAGAACCCACAGCATAGACTCAGAGCTGAAGTCTGAACTCCACCTTCAGGCAGAATGAGGTTCATCCCCGGATGTCTGCTTCTCCTGCTGCTGGTCAGCAGCCTCTCTCCAGCCCACGGTGAGAACGCTCACTTACCTTGTCATTGTCTTTTGAACAGAAATGGTCTTCAGGAATTTCCTTTTTACTTTTCAATTAGAAAATGGGGGGGCGGGCGGGGCCGGAATATGACTTGAGGGAAAAACTGCACTGTTGCTAGATTTCTAAAAGTAAGGTGCTTAAGAATTCAACTCTTGTAAGCTGTTGTATTATTATGATTCTTAGCCATAGAGGGAGGGATATGGATGTCCAATGTCCCTGTGACTTACACTTGGTTTGTCTATTCCTGGCCTTTTTCAGATGCAGCTCTACTATCACTAATTCTTTCCATGTATCTCTTCTTTGCTCTGTCCGTCAGTGCCACCCTGGCTGACCAAACCCTTGATAGGATTTAAAGATTATTGACTCAACTGGTTGGTCTCCTGCAGGGAACGTCTGATGTAATTCTGTACGTTTAGCACTGACATGAACCATTATTAACACAACAGGAGTACTTAAGTACAAGCTTTCTGCAAAGAAGCAGACTTCCATGTCTAAATGGGAAGACGGTCTTAATAAATAAATAAATTTGGGAAAGAAAATAAAAATAAAAAAATGAATGGGAAGGTGGTCTTTGTGTAAATAGATACATATCTAGTTGAAGTGGTCACTTTTTATACACCAAAGGAATCGGATGCATGTGCAGAATGATTCACTTGGCTACAGTTTAGAGGAAAAATTTTCTTAAAGTGCAGCACATGTTATTTCCATTATTCAAGACCCTCATCTCTTTCCTCCAATGCTTCTGGCAAAGCCCTTTGCTCCCATTATGCAGTTTGGACCTTGGGTGAAATACAACATTCCTTGGTATTTTAGTTTTTGCTCATTTGCTTCCTCCACTAAATTATAAACACCTTGAGAGCTGGGTCTCTTATATTTGCCAAACCATGTCAAGCATGGTGGTAGGAACTGGGATTAAAGAGGGAAGAATTTATTCAAATACCTGAGATGGGTTACTTATAGTACTTGTCTAGTACTAATAACTTGTTGTTGGATAAAAATAGCCTTGAATTTTTATTATTGGCTTTTGTTTGGTAATGATTTGCAGATGAGATGGAGGACCAATGTATTAAACAAAAAAATATATATCTTACATGGTATTTCCTCAAACAGAGGTTGACAAGTGGTAGCACTGAGTCTGATAAGAGGGAGAGCTTGTTACTGCTTCAGGGATTCTGCGATGAGTTTTTGTGCTCCATTACTATGTGTTTGGAGTGAAGATCAGTTGATTTTCTACTGCATTAATTATAACTGAGTTGTAATTATAGCGGCTCTCAAATTTTATTATTTGGACCATGACCTGAGTGCCAATATAATTCTGTCACAAACTTCAGTAGGTGCTGTGTTTTCTACAAAATTAATTTTATTTTTTAGATTTTGGTAGGAAATGTTTGAATATAAATCAAGACAAGCAGAAATACATACCCTAAAGGAATATGGGTGGAAGCACCAAGTTGACATTTTTAAGTCTTCTATTGCACTATATGAACGATTAGTATTTAAGTTCTAGTTATGAATTATATGCCAAAGGGATTAAAATAACTGATTCTGTGTTCACAGGTGTTCTGGAGGCCTTGAACACGTCCTCTAAGTGTAGATGCATGAAATCGGTTTCATCCCTAAAGAGGCGCAACATGATTTCCCAGATTGCAGTCTATGTGCCTCGGGATGGTTGCCCACACATGGAAGTCATGTAAGTTACAATAAAAAATATATGAGATTCCTCTCTTCCAGTGAAAATCAGATCATATCTTCTACATAGTATTTTAATTTTTTATTTTTCAATTATAGCTGAAATTCAATATTATATTAGTTTTAGGCATACAGCATAATGGTGAGACATCCTATCTGATAAAAGAGAAACATGGTAATTAGCCATACCTCTGCTACCCTTGCCATTGGCTAATCAGGGCAATTTGCGAATTAATTGCCAGCCAAGATGGTGGCCGGCAGC